ATATATATATATATTTATATATAATATTAAAAACAGTAGACGTGCCATCGAAGTCATTATACATAGATATCGATTATATTTTGTATTCCACTTTCGTGCTGCCACCGTTGAGATGACCAACATATTATTCAGCAATATCAAAACATTGTATGTAAACATTGAGCCATTTTCCATTCATTTGTTTTTATCTATATATCACGATATATACACGTGACAGCATAAATTGTTATTTTTTTATTATTGATTAATGTTTATTGATATTACTGTTGCATTGACCGCCATCGACATTACATTTTTACTGCAGTCATCCATAAAATATTTAATATAAACAAAATATTTTTATTTATTAATATATTTATTAAAAAAAAAAATTAAATATTTTTGACTGGTTCAGAAATATTATAGGTAGACACATAGTCAGGCCAAAATGCAATATTGATAAATTTTAAGCATAGGTATCCTGCCTKTTACACCTCTATTTCTCAAATGTCTTCTCTAGATAAAATGCTATTKTATTAAAGATATTGACGAATGACGAGGGCTTTAGGTTTATTATTATCATTAGGTATCTACTTTTGTAGTCACTCAACTAATCTATATAACAGCTAACTAGCTATAGTTTATGCAAAACAATTTCTAACTTGCATTTATATTGATAGGTAGGTAAATAATTATTATTATTCAGGCCTGTGTCGAGATGGTAGGACTTATGTGGAGTGTTCACTTCATCCCATACAAATATTGAAATATCCATAGTATGGACTCGTCGTTAATAAGGGTTGTGTGGGGTTGAGCAAGAAGAATTCATATTATCGAATCATTACCCCGAATGGCCGAATGTTATGTAAGTACCTATCAACAGGGGCACACCCAGGATTTTTTTTTTCTAAATTCAAATAATTTTAATATTAATAGGTAGGTAGTATTTATTTTGAAATATGTACAGAAATCTTAAAGCTTGTTTACAATCTTTTACTAACTAATTTTGTTTTTATTCCGGTTTTAAGTCGCACCGCAGCGGTGATGTTATAGGTACCGCATTAAAACATAAATATTACCTATTAATTAAATTATGAATAATATAGTGATTGTTTTTTATTTTGGGGCTAGCCATTTGGGGGGGGGGCTAAAGCCCGTTAGCCACCCCCTTGGKCGCGCGMTTGCCTATCAATACGTATTACACTTAATATTTAATTTTTACCTATATATAATATTATATAATAACTAATAACTTATTTTATACTGATCACTTCAGTGATATTATTAATTAATAATTTGTAATA